TGTAGATCTGCTGATCAGGTCAACTATAGATTATGGCAGTGTAATCTATAGATCTGCTGATCACGTCAACTATAGATTATGGAAGTGTAATCTATAGATCTGCAGATCAGGTCAACTATAGATTATGGCAGTGTAATCTGTAGATCTGCAGATCAGATCAACTATAGATTATGGCAGTGTAATCTGTAGATCTGCTGATCAGGTCAACTATAGATTATGGCAGTGTAATCTGTAGATCAGCAGCAAAAACACATCTGGAGAAACTTGACAATCTCCAACATCAAGCACTAAGAATGTGTACAGGAGCGTTCAGGACCACCGCAGCACTTAAAGTAGAGATGGGAGAGATGCCTTTAGAATTGAGAAGAACACAGCTAGCAATTCATTACTGGATCAACTTACAAGGAAATAACCCGGATCATCCAACTTTAGACATTTTAAAACCATGCTGAGAAAAAGCAAAGAGAGAAACAGGAAGCTTTGGTTGGATAATCGATCAGAAGATACAAGAAGTTCAAATAAGAAACCTAACAGTAAGTCCAATAATACCGTTACCAACAATACCACCATGGATACTACCAAAAGTAGATTCTACACTTATGGAAAATAAAAAAGATAAAAAATCACTTTTAACTCATATACAGTACAGAAATTTATAAATAATTATTATGGTTACGTTCAGATTTACACAGACGCATCAAAAGACACAACAGGGAAAATAGGAATAGCAATTATCATCCCAGAGTTCCATAAGAAACAAGTTAAAGGGATTACAAATGGATTGTCAGTATACACCGGGGAAATGTTCGCAGTATTATTAGCAGTACAATGGATAGAAGATGTCAGACCATTAAAAACAATAGTATGTTCAGATTCAAGTTCATCACTTACAAGTTTACAGCACAGCCACTCAGACAGCAGAGCAGACATTTTATTAGAAATCCAGCAAACATTATTCAGAATAATGATGATGGTTTGGAAGTTGTATTTCTGTGGGTACCAGCACACACTGGGGTTGAAGGGAATGAAGCAGCAGACAGGGAAGCAAAAAGAGCAACAACACAACAAGTTAACTTTATAATAACTACAAGCAAATCAGAAGCAAGAAGCATGGTTAAAGAAAAACTGAAGGAGAAGTGTCAGCAAGAATGGAATGAAGAAACCAAAGGAAGATGGTATTATAAGATCCAAAGAAGAGTGGGAGAGATGAGAACAGGAGGGAGAAACAGAAGAGAAGAGAGATTAGGAACAAGACTGAGACACACTGGACTGAACAACACATTATTCACACTACATAAACACGAAACAGGAAACGGTCAGTACTGTGGAGAGACAGAAACAATAGAGCATGTGATTTTAAGTTGTCAGAGATATGAGAGAGAAAGAAGACGCATGATGGAGGAACTTAGATTAAAGAAACATTCAATATCACAAACATACTACAGAAAGAGGCAGCAAGTAAAAGTGTCAAAATGTTGATAAGGTTCTTCATTAAAACAAAGCTGATCAATAGCATATGATTAGGACAGACAACACATACACAAGTAAATAGAATAATTAAATAATAATAATAATCAAGCGTTCTGGCCCACACTCCATACCAGTTGGTGGCGGTAATGCACACATAAGTTGTTTGTCAACCGCCAATAAAACCTGAAGAAGAAGACGAGCGGCTATTGCAAATATTTCATGGTGAAACTGAGCATTATATATTTACATTATGTTTACATCCTGCGTGTGATTCATCTGCAGCGTGCACGGAGTGGAGCGTGTCTCTGCTGTGAGACTGACAGCTGTCAGAGCCTGGAGAAGTGGGAGGGGCTTACGGCTCGCCGCAAACGTTTCGTCACCAAAGTCTCCAGTAACAGAAAAAAGTCTCTAGATTTGTCGCTTAAAAACGTCACTAGAGGGGTCTGAAAACTCGCTAAATAAGCGAGAAGGTCGCTAAGTTGGCAGCCATGTCCGCTATTGTGCTCCAGTCCGTGCGGAAACATTGTGCTGCACATTGGTTCCTCTTCAAAAAAGGGCCTGCGTGTCAGAGTCAGAGTTTCTTTATTGCCATTCGCACCTCATGTGGTGGAGCCAAATTATGTTCACAGGGTCCCATGCGTGTTTTAGCGTGAGAAATACAAAGTGTGCCGTGTGCATGTCATGAAATGCGTGTGACACACGGGCTCCATTGACCCTGACCAGACCCGCCCTCACAGAAACCCCGCCCCCTCATTTGAATAAAGAACATGAAAAAAAACGGGATTAAAAAAATAAAAGCCACTGAAATAAGTAGCTTTACAAAATAAAACAGTCTCAAAATGAAACTCCATTATTAAATAAATAAATGTTAAAATAAAATAAATCTTAGATAAAAAACTAAACATTTCTATTTAACTGTTTTATTTCATGGGAACATTTATTTATTTAATGGAATATTGATTCATAATTATTTAAATAACACTAATTATTTATGTATTTAATTTTGAATGAAATGGCTTTCCCTACTTCTTGACGTCATGTGGACTGGCAGATTGAGCCGCTGCAGCCAGAAACTGAAATTCAGTTAATTTATTAAATGACGAGCATCAAGTGTAGAACCACTAGACT